CTAAAATATATTCAACATTATCATAAGACCCCCACCCCTCCCCCGCCTCCTCAATCAACAACATTAACAACTTGTTTATCAATAAATTTTACAAGTCTGAGATGGAGACTGTGTCCAGAGTTGAACCCAGCGTTGCCTTAATATTGTCGAAATAATTTCCCGCATTTTGTTTAGAGGAGGAATGGCCCTAAAATATATTCAATAATGTCATAAGACACCCTCCCCTCCCCCGCCGCCTCACTCAGCACCACTGACAACTTGTTTATCAATAAATTTTACAAGTCTGGGATGGAGACTGTGCCCAGAGTTGAACCCAGAGTTGCCTCAAAATTGTTAACATAATCGCCAGCATCTTCCGTGGTAGGGAATAGACCCTAAAATATATTCAACATTATCATAAGACCCCCGCCCCTGCCCCACCGCCTCACTCAACAACATTGACAACTTGTTCATCAATAAATTTTACAAGTCTGGGATGGAGACTGTGCCCAGAGTTGAACCCAGCGTTTCCTCAATATTGTTCATATAATCTTCAGCATCTTCCCCATACGGGACATTGACACTAAAATATATTCAATAATGTCATAAGACACCCCCCTACCCCGCCGCCTCACTCAGCACCATTGACAACTTATTTATCAATAAATTTTACAAGTCTGGGATGGCGACTGTGCCCAGTGTTGAACCCAGAGTTGCCTCAAAATTGTTAACATAATCTCCAGCATCTTCCGTAGAGGAGGCATGGACCCTCAATTATATTCAACATTATCATAAGACCCCCACCCCTCCCCCACCTCCTCACTCAACAACATTAACAACTTGTTTATCAATAAATTTTACAAGTCTGAGATGGGGACTGTGTCCAGAGTTGAACCCAGCGTTGCCTTAATATTGTTATAATAATTTCCAGCATCTTCCCCATAGCGGACATTGACCATAAACTATATTTAATAATATCATAAGACAGCCTCTTCTCCCCCGCCGCTTCACCCAGCAACATTGACAACTTGTTTATCAATAAATTTTACAAGTCTGGGATTGAGACTGTGCCCAGAATTGAACCCAAATTTGCCTTAATATTGTTGAAATAATTTCCCGCATCTTCTTTAGAGGGGGAATGGCCCCAAAATATATTCATTAATGTCATAAGACACCCTCCCCTCCCCCGCCGCCTCACTCAGCAACATTGACAACTTGTTTATCAATAAATCTTACAAGTCTGCGATTGATACTGTGCTCAGAGTTGAACCCAGAGTTGCCTTAATATTGTTGAAATAATTTCCCGCATCTTCTTTAGAGGGGGAATGGCCCCAAAATATATTCATTAATGTCATAAGACACCCTCCCCTCCCCCGCCGCCTCACTCAGCAACATTGACAACTTGTTTATCAATAGATTTTACAAGTCTGGGATGGAGAGTGTGCCCAGAGTTGAACCCAGAGTTGCCTTAATATTGTTAAATCAATCTCCAACATCTCTCCTATAAGGGAAATCGACCCCAGAATCATTTTAACAATGTTATTATTCCATCCTCCCTTCCTACCATCTCTGCAACTATATTGAAAATTGACTTAACAAAGATTCTCACAACTCCGGGATCTACTCTGGGTCCCGAGTTCAATTGACATTGGGCACCTCACCTCTACTCTGGGTTTCCTCTCAACCCAGACTAGGTTTGTGGACACAACTCAGTCTGGGGAACTCTGGGACTACTCTGGGTGTGAACCATCAGGGAACTCTCCTAAACGACAGACAAACGTAAAAATTTCGAAAATTTTTTTCGGAGCATTCTTCCTCTCTTACATGATGGCGTACTCTTTTGCCGTTATATGTGAACAAAGAATAATAGTTGACAGACTGATTTCTTTGAAAAAAACCGATGGATCTCCCCTAAAAACTGAAAAACCCAAAAATTTCGAAAAAAAAAATTTTTTTCCCGTGAATTGGTTCGCTCTTCCATTATGACGTATTTTTTATATATCATAAAAGGACATTCTCTATCATAAAAAAAATATTTCGATCGAATATCGAGCGGCCCTAGAGTGAAAAAAAAATGAAAACGCGAAAAATTCTCGAAAAACCGGTCTAGGAGCTTTTTGACGGCTCTGAAGTATTTTTATCTTGAAGTACGAGAATAAACGAAAATTTTCTTTTTTTATTCATCAAAATCGGATGCTCCGTTCAGAACTAATGATTTTTTGAAAATGTTAAGTTTCGTTATGATTATCTCAGAAACAAAAAGTGGCAGGGCAATGAAATTTTGCATGATCACGGGCTATATGTAGTACTTCATAAATGGATCATTTTGATGTGAAGAATAATTTTTCATCGATTGCTGAAGGTCATTGTTTACACTCCTATTTATGAAAATTGGGAATTATTTCATCATACCGAAGATTTAAATAACTCTTTTTATTTTTCAAAATACTCATTTGTTCATTTTTTTTCTTGATTCTAGACAGAATGGCTCACAGACGAAAGAAACGTGGAGCTTCTTTTTGTGATGAAATCAATGAAATTGCTCTTAAGGAAACTATCCTTTTACCCACCAAAAAAATTAATGAATTGAAGATAAAACAGCTTTATAAAATCACTGGAATTAGATTCGCAAAGATACGTTATAGAATGAAGGCATTGGTTGTCTTGGAGAACAATTTCACCATTTGGTTACCGGGGAGACTTTTCACTAAATTATTGGAAGAAAAAGAAAATCTGTGCTCCTTTCAACAAGCTGCTAGTGACGATGTCTTGTTCGTTAAATTCCTGACAGGCAAACATCACCCGTGTGAGTTTATCATTATTGAGAAAAAAGATGACAAAAATTAGGACAAATAATGAAAGATTGTTATACCTTTTATCTCTGTATTTTTTTATTGTGTCACGTTTTTGAGACTATTCATTCACCCCTGGAGAGTTGAAATGATTCTTACAAATTTAGCAACATTGAAAGAAGACTATGATAGAATCAGGAGTGATGTAATAAATTAATTGATATACATGATATTTCAATTAATGTACAAGTACTTTTCTTCCAAATAAAAAATAAAAAGGTGAAAAAGAAATTATTTAATTTGTTTTCATATTCAGTTTGTAGGAAGCTTTCAAATAAAACTTGTGGAAATCCCCTCTACAATACAAATCTTGATTTCGCTGTCATATAAATCCGGATAGAATATAAAATACCTCAGTCATCTTGTAGCGTTAATGAAGGAGATGTAACGATTGTTGACTTTTTTAATCTCGAGTTATTCAGGATTGAGAAGTCGTACATTTTTCCTCAATCTCTAGTGATGATTTTCCCCATTCCACCAATATATTTCAGCTTTCATATAAACAAGAATCATGAAATTGAAAGAGAGATATTTTTTTTTTAATAATCCTTGAAAAGAGAATGCTCCTTTTATTTTCTCATCAAGATAAGTACAATGATATTTACAATGAGATGAATAAAAACCTTGATATCATTGTATTGAAAAAAATGTTCATGTAGAAAAAATAAGATAAAAATGAAGTCGATATAGCATAAGATGAGCGCAATACTCCATCCAACATCGATACATTACGTGCGCATCTGTATAGGACCTGAAAAAGAAAACAATATGACAAGAATAGAGTTGACATCAAAGTATATGAACAAAATTTCTCAAAAAGGGAGAGTGGAGCAAAGTGAATGTTGAAGATCCACTCCTATTCTAGATATTTCTATTTGCTCTATATTTACCCTCATATCTAGATTTTGAAAATCTTTCGAAATCTCAATCTTTCATATGGAATTTTTATCAAAAAATGTGGCGCGAGTCACAATAGATTAATTTCTTGAATTTACTTCGTAGCGTCTCGAATATTCCAAACGTCGGAATTCGAGACAAACATCATTCTGTCCTTGTCCCTCAGGAAATTTCAGGACAATTCTCGAACCTTCGATAAATGAAGGTATATAAACTCGTACGCTCCCCGGCGGAGGAAGTCAGTCTACTTTTGAGTACGCATGTAAACACTTGCCTTTAAATATATAGTTCTTGTCAACACCGAGTTATTATTTTTGATACCCGCACCAAACCGCCACAACTGGTGACCCCGACGTGATTGAAGTGAATAGTTTTCTCGCATTTTTTTTGATTTTTAATTATATCACGTTAACGCCGCGACTGTTCCGCGAAATTCGAGTGAATTTCGATCGTGCACTTTGTGAGTGGTTTGTGTGCCATGTACGCTCGTGTGTTGTATCGTTCACGCCCTCCATTCGAGTTATTTTCGTGAATTTTGGTGCATTGCTGAGCACCCAAGGACGCTGTGCTGCACTGAATATTTTTCAGACTTTCTCTAGTATTGTTTTTCGCGAAACATAATGCCCGATAGTGTCGAGGTGCGCGAAGCTGACAATGGAGCCCCGCTCCAACGCGTTTCGATACGATGTCCCGCCTTCAATGCCGAACGTCCAGCGTTATGGTTCGCCCAGCTCGAGGGACAGTTTCATCTAGCCGGGATTAACGATGAAGTAACGAGGTATTACTATGCCTCATNGTGTGTTGTATCGTTCACGCGCTCCATTCGAGTTCTTTTCGTGAATTTTGGTGCATTGCTGAGCACCCAAGGACGCTGTGCTGCACTGAATATTTTTCAGACTTTCTCTAGTATTGTTTTTCGCGAAACATAATGCCCGATAGTGTCGAGGTGCGCGAAGCTGACAATGGAGCCCCGCTCCAACGCGTTTCGATACGATGTCCCGCCTTCAATGCCGAATGTCCAGCGTTATGGTTCGCCCAGCTCGAGGGACAGTTTCATCTAGCCGGGATTAACGATGAAGTAACGAGGTATTACTATGCCTCATCTCATCTCGATCCCAAGGCCGCTGCTGAGGTGCAGGATATCCTCCCAAATGTGCCTGCCGAGACACCGTATACACGTCTCAAGGANGGTGCATTGCTGAGCACCCAAGGACGCTGTGCTGCACTGAATATTTTTCAGACTTTCTCTAGTGTTGTTTTTCGCGAAACATAATGCCCGATAGTGTCGAGGTGCGCGAAGCTGACAATGGAGCCCCGCTCCAACGCGTTTCGATACGATGTCCCGCCTTCAATGCCGAATGTCCAGCGTTATGGTTCGCCCAGCTCGAGGGACAGTTTCATCTAGCCGGGATTAACGATGAAGTAACGAGGTATTACTATGCCTCATCTCATCTCGATCCCAAGGCCGCTGCTGAGGTGCAGGATATCCTCCCAAATGTGCCTGCCGAGACACCGTATACACGTCTCAAGGAGGCGCTCGTCGAACGCCTCACGCTCTCCCGGGATGCACGACTCCAGCAGCTGCTCGACCGAGAGGTATTGGGTGACAGGAAGCCCTCNTGCAGGATATCCTTCTAAATGTGCCTGCCGAGACACCGTACACACGTCTCAAGGAGGCGCTCGTCGAACGCCTCACGCTCTCCCGGGATGCACGACTCCAGCAGCTGCTCGACCGAGAGGTATTGGGTGACAGGAAGCCCTCGCAATTCGTGCGTCATCTCAGGAGTCTCGACGACACGGTTCCTGACCACATTTTACGCACCAAGTGGCTCAGCCGACTGCCGATGACGATGCAGTTCATCCTGGCGTCACAAGCGGACATGGCTCTCATGGCTCTCATCCGACTGCCGATGACGACGCAGTTCATCCTGGCGTCACAAGCGGACATGGCTCTCGACAGGCTTGCAACACTCGCCGACAAACTGCACGAGATCGCATTGCCGGTAGCCCACATCAATGACGTCCAGGAGCCAACGTCCTCAGCCCTCGAGACACGCTTTTCTCGTCTCGAAGCCACAATCTGCGAGCTGGCATCGGCCCTAAAAGGATAAAGCGTCGCACGTTCTCGCTTCCGCTCTCGATCCCGTTCTCGAGCCACCTCGCCAGGACCCGACAACAACCATTGCTGGAAACGAGTTAACTATACGCTTATTGCAGCCAACGGTTCGACAATCAACACGTATGGCTGCATAACTCTATCGCTCAACCTCGGCCTCCGGAGGGAGTTCACATGGCGCTTCGTAGTGGCGGACACAACCAAACCAATTATCGGTGCCGATTTTTTGGCGCATTTCGGCATTTTACCTTACCTGAAAAACGGCTGCCTTATCGACTCAACAACTGGATTAACGACCTCATGCAAAGTGTCGCTATCCAGCATCGTCTCGGAAATCAAGGTTACGCCTGTCGATCCTTCATGGTCAGATCTCCTCGGTAAGTTTCCCAATTTAACGAAACCCGAAGGAATATGCCTTCCAGCCAAACATTCGACGCTGCACCATATCGCCACTACACCCGGACCTCCAGTATCCAGCAAATCACGATGCCTCGCCCCCGACAAACTGAAAATCGCCAAGGCGGAGTTCGACAAAATGATGCAACTGGGAATCACTCAACGTTCGAAGAGCCGCTGGTCATCTCCGCTCCACTTGGTACCGAAAAAGTCAGGCGAATGGCGACCTTGTGGAGATTATAGACAATTGAACGCAAGAACAATTCCGGATCGATATCCCGTTCGCGTTCTAGAGGACTTCACTGCTAATCTCGCTGGGAAAACAATCTTCTCGACGATCGACCTCGTACGCGCCTTTAATCAAATACCTGTGGCCATCGACGACGTAAACAAAACAGCTATCATCACATCATTTGGCCTTTTCGAATTCCTGTTCATGACGTTCGGGCTTCGAAATGCCGCACAAACATTTCAATGGTTTATCGACGAGGTCACTCGANGGCTGCATAACTCTATCGCTCAACCTCGGCCTCCGGAGGGAGTTCACATGGCGCTTCGTAGTGGCGGACACAACCAAACCAATTATCGGTGCCGATTTTTTGGCGCATTTCGGCATTTTACCTTACCTGAAANATTAACACCGCCAAGTGTCGTTTCGGCCAATCGGAGGTAGACTTCCTCGACCATCGTATCTCGGCGCAGGGTATCTTACCGCTCCCGTCGAAGGTACAGGCGATCGTCAATTTACCTCGGCCAACATCCATTCGTAAATTGCGTGAGTTCTTAGGTATAATCAATTTTTATCGCAAATTTCTTAAAGATGTTGCAAGATTTTAGGTTCCTCTCCATGAATACACTCAGGGTGCTAATGTCAAAGGCTGTCACCCCGTCGCCTGGACACCTGAGGGCGATACCGCTTTCACCGCCTGCAAGGAGGAGCTACGAAAAGCAACGTTAATGGTCTACCCGGACACGACACTCCCGTGGGCCATCTTCACCGATGCTTCCGAATACGCCATCGGTGCAGTCCTGCAGCAACAACGAGGACAGCACTGGGAACCACTGGCATTATTCAGCCAGAAACTACAACCTGCGCTGAGGAAACACTGCCCTTACTATCGAGAGCTCCACGCCATCTACGCTGCCGTGCGAAAGTTCCGCTACATTTTCGAGGCGAGGCACCTCACGATCTTCACAGATCATAAGCCGTTGCTTCACGTCTTCGCCCAAGATCCTGACAGAGCCACGCCGTAGCAGTTCCACCGCCTGGATTTTATCGGCCAGTTTTTGATCGACATCCAGTATGTGGCCGGCAAGGACATAGTTGTCGCCGATGCGCTTTCTCGTATCGAGGCAATCTCTGCTGCCGTCTCTACGAATGAGCTTGCCGAAGCTCAAGCCGCTGACGAGGAGCTCCAGCAACGTCTCCAGGGTCAACATCACGACGCTCTCGCCCTAAGACCTGTCAATATTCCAGACTACGCCACGCCTATCTATTGCGACGTGTCTGGCGATCTGATTCGCCCTTTCGTTCCTGTGCCGTTGAGAAGAAGAATTTTCGACGCTCTCCATAGCGTCAGCCATCCTGGGGCACGAGCCTCAACGAAGCGGGTAACACAGCGCTACGTCGGCCCGGACATCAACCGAGACTGCCGTCTGGGGGCCCGCGCGTGCATCGCTTGCCAACGAAATAAGGTATCTCGTCATGTCTCATCTCCTATTCAAGATTTTCCAGGACGCACGCAGCGCTTCGAGCACATACACGTGGACATCATCGGATCGTACGTTCCGTCCAGAGGGTATCGCAACTGCCTGACGATCATAGACCGTTTCACCAGGTTCCCAGAGGCGTTCCCCATCGAGAACACTGGAGCCGAGTGTATTGCCCGAATGCTCTTTTCTGGATGGATCTGCCGCTACGGAGTGCCGCATCGAATTACAACCGACCAGGGGACACTTTTTGAGAGCCAGCTGCTCAACGCTCTCGCTCGTCTTCTCGGTAGCAGACATATTCACACCACCACGTTCCATCCTCAGTCAAATGGAATAGTAGAACGTCTGCATCGTCATCTGAAGGACGCCATTCGCTGTCATGAAAGCGCTTTGTGGATGGACACGCTGCCTATCGCCCTTCTCGGAATCCGCGCCGCCAGGAAAGAAGACCTCGGTGCAACTCCTGCCGACCTCGTCTTCGGTGAACCGCTCCGACTATCGGGGGAGTTTCTTGCTCCCTCGCCACCATGCGGGCTACCGCCTACGAATATCGCCGATTGTCTGAGGAATCACTTCGCCGATCTCGCTCCTCAACCCGTCGCCCGTCATGGCCAGAGGAAGATTTTCGTCATTAAAGAGCTCGCAAACTGCTCACACTTCCTCGTTTGTCGCGGCGCTCCCCATCACGCCTTCATTTCCCCATACGAGAGGCCACACCAAGTAATATCGAGGCACGACAAACATTTCGTCATTCGAATTAGAGGCCAAAATACCGTAGTCTCCATCGACCGTCTCAAACCCGTTTTCTCGCTCCCAGACGACGAGCACAACAATGACGACGAAGCTAACGACGATTCCGACGACAGGAATACGACGCCGACTGCACCACCTTCACCGGAGTCACCGCAACCGGGAACATCTCGACGTTCGTCATCTTATCGCCCATCTGACACGGGCTCATCGACGTCATCAATTCAAAAGTGCATAAGGTTCGCTAAACGACATCAGCTGTTTTCGACAAATCGATATTATTGATTTTCTTTTGGCTTTATTTTGCTTTCTTTTCTTTTTCCGCAGAAGGAGAATACTTGTGGCGTGAGCCACAACAGATCAATTTCTTGAATTTATTTCATAGCATCTCGAATATTCCAAACGTCGGAATTCGAGACAAACATCATTCCGTCGTTGTCCCTCACGAAATTTCAAGACAATTCTCGAACCTTCGATAAGCGAAGGTATATAAACTCATACGCTCCCCGGCGGAGGAAGTCAGTCTACTTTTGAGTACGCATGTAAACACTTGCCTTCAAGTATTGTAACGAGATTTTCTCGTTACGGGTTGAAATCCCCTTAAAAAGAAAAGTGAACTCAAAATTGTTGAAGAGAGATAAGTAGTGACACCTAGAAGCGGCTGAAGAAAGCCGGGACTACGTGCGATAAACCACAAACCAATGAAAGACCTAAGGCATAGCGGTTATGTGTGAAACCGCGACCCCAGGAGGTCTGGAGGGCGTTACTAGACTATCGCCGTATTAGAATTCGCCCAGCATGTGCTAGGGGAAACAGGGCCGACGTACAGGCCGTCCAACTGGGCGATTCTATAGGCTATGTCGGAGTAGGCTACGGACCAACGGCCAGGTGAAAGGACTGGTACCTCCGTGATCCCGTCGGATTGATTGGTGGGGATAGGGTAACGGAATGACCTATCGTCGCCGAGATATCCAGACTAGGAGGCAAGGCCCTAGTAAGATTCCGAGTTAGTCGCACGCGAGCGCTTGAACCGAGAGGTTGAAATAATCTCTCGGTGTGCTGGAAGTGGTGGATGGCTGAAGAAGCCATGGTAAGGAGTTTACTCAGCGTAGCCTGGTGCATAACTGTGGCGGCGAATATAGGGGGATGCCCCTGCATCCCCCGCGCGTAAATCTGAGTTATTTCGGAACGCGAGGTGACGACTTCGTCGTGTTCGGCGTCATCTAGTCTCGGCGGAACGATTCGAGGCGTATGGGCCCGTGGGCCTGGAGTCGAGAAATCCTCCTGTCGGTCCGACCATACGCCGACGGTCTAGTACTACCCGGAGGCAGTGACGCGCGATGACCAAAGCGGTAACTGGTGGTGGAGAGAGTGGGTGGTCGTAGCGTGGGTAACGCAGTTCCCCCCTGGTCAGATCAGCCTCTCCACGTCCCAGGCTCTGAGGAGTCCCGGCTGAATCGCAAATAGTTCGGAAACTCTCCTGAGTAGAAATACTCGGAGAGAGGAAGCATGCCGGAGGAGTCGAGAGACCCTCCGGAGGAAAGATGAATCCCATTCAGTAGGGAACTTATGCTGTGAGGCATAATCCTCGGCTTGCAAAGGCAGTGGAATGTGACGGTAATACTCCTGGTGGACCTCGCCCACTCTACCGTATCACGCTGATGTTAGCTAGGCAACCCATTGTCCAGCCCAAAAAGTCCTCTGAGTGGACGAGTTTGCCTCAGGTTTTCGTCGAACCTCCCGTGAAGGTTCGGCTGGCGCCCGACTATTGAGCGATAGAGACGGCAAAAAAGTAGTTTGGATTTTTCCTGGGTGAACAACCCGGGAAAATATCCTTACAATATACAGTTCTTGTCAACTCCGAGTTATTATTTTTGATATCTGTACCAAATGGCTACAAAAAAATATAATTTCGTGTTGCGCGTAATCCTGAAATAAAAGCCGCAATCTATCGATAATGCTCCATATGCATGGCGTAATATACAAAATCGATACAAGTGGGAGAAATCCCGTAAAGAAACCTTTAAATACATAGTCGGGGCCTATGTGCGCATCAGTCGAGTGAAAGGCATCTTTGAGAAGAAATATTAAACTCATTGGAGTAAAGAAATATTCTAAATAATGAAAGCAGTCCTC